CACAAAACTACAGGTAATCTGGGTGGTTCTTCTGGTCTCAGATGAGCTCCTGCCTGGGTCTGCAGTCAGGTGCGGGTTGGGTTGGAAGCTCTGCTAAGCTTGGCTACACACTCACACGTCTTGAGGTTGGCTGACTTTAGGCTGGTGTAGGATGGCTCTCCTCAATGTGTTCTCTCATCTTCTAGCAAGGTAGACCAAGTTTGTTCTGTTGACAGGGTTCTGAGAGAGTAGAAGCACACAAGGTCTCCAGGCTCAGAACTGGTACATCGACACTTCTACCATATTCTGTTGGGCAAAGTAAACACAAGGTCAGCCCATATTCAGGGTGGTGAGAAAACAGACTCCATCTCTTGATAAGAGAAACTGTGAAGACACACTAAAAGAGTGTAGCTATAGGGAGAGGTAAAGAATTAATTTTGCAGTCTGCTACAGACATAAACCAAACAGAAAATCCAAGTCAAATATTAGGAAAAAAGTTAAAACACAACAAGTGATGGCCAATGAAGTAAGCAATCCATCTCTTTCCTAATGCATGATGACATGATGAAAAAAAAGTTTCATTCAGCAGAGGAATCTCCACTTTATCCCAGCCAAATATGAACTCCATCTATATCACATTTTTACTAGGGCTGCCCTTGAAAGATGCTTAAAATATAACTGAGTTCTTCCTACTGGAAATGAAATATACCTATTGATGATTCTGTCAAAGAAAAAAATGTATTACTGCATTCAGCATAATGTTGCTGGAATTATGAGCTGTGCCAAATTCTGACACTTTTCAGAATGACTCAGATAAAACTTTGCCAAGAAAATTCCAATACCTGAGGCATTTTTTTCCTAAATTATCCAATTAATGACCTACTCTTTCCTCTTCCTTAGTTTTTATAGACACAATCCAAGCAGATTGCATTTTTCCATTTGTGACTCCTGAGCCATTTGAAAATCAAGAATAGCTGAATCCAGAGAAATAATAAAAATCTTTGACAAGCAGTACAGCAGGGGCACTGACCAATCACAACAGTCTGGCACGGGATTTTGCTCTGCTGTGAGCCCCACTCCCACCTCTCCACTCACAGGGGAGGGATGAAAGATGCCCCTATTTCACCTCCCAGGAGAAAGACACATTAATGAGACCCTTGAGAGGGCTAAACGTGTGCTCTCCAGAGCATTAGAGATACTCTAGACTGTTGTTTGGAAAGTCTAAGTTGCAGGAAACAAGCTGACTGATTTCTCTGATAGCTGAGGAACAGGGAGCTGGCAAGACTGGGACTGGCAAGTGCTGCCAGAGTTGATCAGGGAAAAGAAAGTATTTCTCATGGGCCAGATATTGCCCCTCGCTAGAAGCAGCTAGCATGAAGGTCATCTTCTGTCTGGCCCCAGAGGACCATCGGGAGGGATGAACACAACTCACTGGAGAGAAGCTGTAGGAAGTGCCAGGTTCTCAGGGGCTGAACAGGAAATAAGAAATGAACTGGGAAAAAGATGTGTTCATCTTCATCAAGGAACTACAGGGAGAGATCCTAAGCAATGAGAGCAATTTTTATCAACTACAAAAGTGTCCGTGAAAGAAAGTATCAATTCTTAAAAACTGTAGTCAGGCCCAGAAAGCACTGTCCCAGTTTCATCTGGTGCCAATCAAGTAAGACCTTCGCTACTTCCCTCGCCTCTCCTCCTCGACCCCCTGCACTCTAACTCTGGAGAACCAAGACCTCTATTTAGTGAAACAGGGGAGAAGAAATCAAAGCAAATGTGGGCAAGGCAAGAAGGGGACCACAACATTCTCCCCCAACTGCTAGATCTCCACCAGCCACAGCTGGGGAAGTGGGCAAAGGCCTCACTCTTAAACCTATACTAAAGTTTAACCATCACATCGGACTGGACATTTTAATTACCGACCACAGGGCTTTCTATATAGATGTATAGAGAAAAGTCATGAGATGACCCCAATTTTCACCTGGGAGAAAGTAAAATGTAAAAAGAGGAAACAAAGATAAAATTGTTTTATAATTATACATTACTCTGTCTTTCTATGATGGGCCAGTACAGAGACCTACCTCTCTTAAAGATGACATTCTCATAGAGGAAACAAAAATAAGAAAAGTGGTTAGTTATATAATAATAAGTGCCATGAAGAAAAATAAAGCAGGGTGAGGAGCTACAGACCGCTGGTAGGATGGTGCTATTTTCCACAGAGTAGCAAGGCAGGCATTGGAACAGGAACATGACGCAAGAGAGTCAGCCAGAGGAAGATCTGTGGCAAGATGGTCCTGGACCTGCAGTGCAATGCAAAACCATTTGAGGGCCGAGTTCCACCCTCCCATGGTTACCCTGGTTGCTGGGTCCAGAAAGGATGGTAGCTGCCGAGAGAATGGAGACTAGTAACCAGTGACCAAATGTGTCAGGCAGCAGCTTCCAAATCACCTTGGATACCTACTGAAGGACTATATTACTAAGCCCATCCATCTCTCAAACCTACTGAACAAGAATCTTGTGGGAATAAAGTAAAGGCTGCTATTTTTAGCTGATTTTCCACGAGATTCTCTCCTGCTGTCAGAGTCAGGAATCACTACCCTTCATGACACAGTGGCCATTTTATGAGCACCCACAAAAGAACTTCTGCTCAGGATCCGACTTCTGCTCTCTGAAATGTACATGTTTTATTTTGCCTCTTTGCTTTAAACAGATTTCATCTGTTATTAACAACAGTGCAGGACTTTCTGGTTCAAATTTTTGGTTTCAACTTTAACTTGGGCTTAATTTTACTATTTATTCTACCTTCATTTTCCCTTTTCTTGATACTTTTTTTATTTTTTATAAATACTATTTTTAGTATTTATGCATACATTTTACCATTTTTAAGAATTAAACTGCCACTTCGGCAATCTTCAGAGTACTATAATGCACTGTACGTACATGTAATTTAGACTTATACCTGTTACAACTTCAAAGCCTTCTCTGATATAAGGTGGGATTCACATTATCTCTTTCCTTAAATGAAACATTTATTTTGTTATCTTTCTACCCACCACAGTCATTCAAACAGTAACTGGATGAGCTCACACTTAATGCTATTTAAAATTTTTGTCTGCTACAACACATTCATCTGACCTGCTTTGCTGCATAACATATATTTCCCAAACATAACTAAAAATAAGTCTACCTCTTTTAACCCATGGGAATTTTATCATGATACTGATTTTTTCTGTCCATTACATTATCTAAGTGGTTTCATACCACATTCAACCATAGTGAATTTCAATAAAAGTAGGAGAGCACTTTATAGATAGTGGAGAAAATTTAAAGTGAATTTGGCTGTTTTCTTATTACAAGAAACAAAGAACGGTATTGTACCTTAACAGAAATATTTCAACAGCTCCTAAACTCGGGCAAAAAAAGGGAGTCAAGTTTGTACTAGTCTAAGTACCTACAATAATATGACAGAAGTCTTTACCACCAACATTTCATACTACAGCAGTCTGTACTCCTAATATCAAAGCATTCTCACTAGAAATACTGTATTAACACTGGACTTTCAAATTGCCAGGTGTGAAAAATCACCTACTTTAAAAAAAACGTACTGCTTATTTTAGGCTGGTCAAGGTTAAAATGGCCATTTATATTATTTCTAATTTCAGCTCTAAGCTTGCTTGCATCTGATCAGCCAAAACGAGAATTTGTTTTTCCTGTATCCAACAGAATAAAATGATCAATCAGCAATAAGTTCATTCTTTGCCAAAAAGAAATATGTTCTAAATTTATATATTATAAACTACATAATAAATTATATCCATATACTACACATTTCATAGTTATAATATGTACCATTTAGGAGAGGAAAAACTTCATGAGGGTTTATTCAAATGATATATAATAATACCCAAGAATGTCAATTTATATACACACACACGTATGAATTCTGAATGAAGTGTAAGTAGCCACCTTAGCAGGAACATAACAAGTCCCTATAATGCAAAAAATGATTCTAAGGGCACCTTCTAAAGCAATGAAATTCATACAATTTAGTCACATTCATTAATATCATTTACTTTTCTCTAATACAAAGTCATCCGGTAGTCTTACTGTTAACTTCATGCTAAAAGATTCTAAGTTTAGAATCTTTACCAATAAAAGAAATAAGAAATAATACTTATTTTCTCAAGTTAGATGGAAAAGACTTTTCATACAATAATGAAACCCAAGCAAACGTGAATTTGTTATTATAAGAATGATGATCATTAATATATTATTCCAATACTTCCATGACACTTAAACCGTAGTTTAAAATCTAATACACAAGAAACCATAAGGACAAACTCTACTATGAAATGAAGAATAATAAAATCTATTCAGCTCTAAATATTTAGTTCAAGACAATGAGCAGAGGAGCACACAATTCATCTGAATGACATCATTTAAACAGTGTAATAACATACTGTTACTTAAGACTAGTAAGTGTGGTGCATTATGTGATTCCAACCATTGTGAAAAAACAGTATTAACAAGGAACAGTATCCCTACCAGCTTGGAACTTACAGAATCAATAACTTTGACCATAGCTTTCCAAATGATTTAATAATGCCTTTTAACATTACAAACATAAATCTATCATAGTACTGGAATTCTGATGTATTTTGGTGCTTCTGAGGCTGCCTAAAAATGAGAAGGTATCCAAGTGAAATTCATTATATACTTATTATATCACAAAATTTCAGTGCCTAAAATGTGAAATAATCGTCTAACATTTAGCTGTCTGCCTTACGCTATATTCGAGATTGTGACTTCCAGGATTTTTATTGTACTTTGGGAAATGAGAGGTAAAACATCATTTTAAAAAAGCACTATGTCAAATCATTACTGTACACCTTAAATTTATTCAGTGTTATATGTCAATTATATCTTAATAAAACTGGGAGAAATAAACTGTGACTGTGCTTATATTCATGGAAAAATAGCATTTTTACTATGTTGAAATTTAATCCTTTTATACAGGTTAACAAGACACATCACCAAAAAAAAAACCAACAACAACAACAAAAACCTTTTGAAAGTGGAACAATGCCAATTTATTTCAGGAGCTCAAATTATAAAAGGTCACCCTTGGATCAATTTCCCACACTAAGGGAACAAAGGTGTTAAAATACAGCAATGCTCCACTGAGCCATTTATCCACACTACAGTACAGAACTTGAAAGAAATCCTAACGTCCAGGTTTAAAACCATCTTAAGAGACAAGATCCTGTGTTTTACAGCTATCTCTGTAAGAGGTGCTCTTCCTTCCGCAAAGTTTAATTAAAAGGTTGGCTATATTTAAGGGTTTTTTTCTCATCAGTTCTTCAGTTCAAACCACTATTATCATTATTCATAGGATCTATATCTTGTCTGATATGAATGATATGATCCAGAAAAGGGGGCTAGGGAAGGTGGACCTTGCACTGGTGGAGGAGGTAATAAGAGTCTTTTTGATATAAGCCTCATACCAGGATTTGTTTTATCCAGTTGTGTAAACAGAGGGCTCTGAGTTTCTGGTTCTTCAGTGAATTGGGCTAAAGAGTTCAGATAATGACAGTTACAGGGGAATTCACTTACAGGTATACAACCATCATGAGACAAAGGAGATCCCAGAGGAGGAGGATTCCTATAAGGTGGTATGTGGGCAGTAACACACGCAGGTGATGGATTAGAAGTCATGGGTGGAGGTGGTACTTGACTACAACCCAGCTGAGGAGTACCTGAATACTGGAGAAAATATGACAATGGATGGCATCCTGGTGGTGGAGAAGATGGGGGTCGTGCACGTTCTTCTGGAGGCATACTATAAGGATGCAATTCCACTGGCTGACTGTGATATTCAGGATGATGGTGAGCAGGTACTGGGGCAGGAGGTGATAGTTCTTTGACACCAGAATGTGAGTCACCCTGAACAGGGAGGATTATTAAATTGCTGTGATCTCCTCTTGAAATTCTAATGGTTTCCTGATGTATCAAAAGAGGTGGGGGTGGCGACAATTTTGCTAGAGGACCATGAAGATCCTCGTGTGGCTGATGACTGTGCTTGTGTGACACACGTTGCACAGGAGGTGGTGACATAATGGTGTACAGCTCTGATGGAAAATGGCTCACGTGGTCCTTATCTAGCAGCATTTCACGGATTTCCGTTGTTGGTGAAGCAATAGAAGGGTGAACTCTTTTAAGCAGAGCACGGGTGACAGGGTTTTTTTTAGCTCTCTTATGGCGGTAGTTGTTATGAGCTCTTAAGTCTCTTTGAGACAAGTAAGTTTTCCTGCATTTTTGGACAGTGCTACACATGAAGACAGAACCTCACATGTGCTCCTCAATTTGCAGCACAGGAATACCACAGCCTGGACATATCTTATCTTCTTTTTGGGGGGTATAAACTAGCACAGTCATAGCAAAACGCATGCTTGCAAAGAATTATACGCCCGTTGATTTTAAAAGACATAATAGGCATATCACATTTGTCACAGAAATGAACTAGTAAATCATCCTTTTCACCTATGATGGTTATCTTAAAGTCCTCCCAAATGCATTCAGGAAATTTTCTTTCTTCCCAAGAGTTCACCTCCTTTACAACCTTACTGCTCTCCTCTATTACATTCAAATTCTTCACCAGTGGGCATCCCATTCATAGTCCTTGGAATTTGAGACACAGATTTGATTTTGCTCACCTGCTTGGAAATGAGCTTTAAAGGAACTCGTATTCAACATCAAGGCCACCATACGATCCAGAACTCTCGGTGTGTGGTAACTCACTTTCAGCGTCAGCTGGATCCATGTTTGGCTGTTCAGCTAGGAAGCCACCCGGGAGTGAAGTCACACTCCGCATGCGCAGCACAAGCCTCCCCACGCCCCAGAGAAGGAAGTTCGGTCAGATCCCTCCCCTGTGTCTGTAGCTTTGAACTTCGAGGGGTTCTTTCTCCTTTTCCCAGCCAATCTCACTACTCTGGTGGAGTCAGGCATAGTTTGGACAGGGGGAGAAAGAGCTTCAGGGGTCGCCAAGGCTGCTCTTCGTGTGCCATGTAGAAATGTGGAAATGTGGGAAAAGCGACTGATGGGAATGGGGGTGGGGGAACACAGCAGCAGTCAAAAGAATAAGCTCCCAGCAGACTCCACAGAGCGCTGCCTTCTGGGGCTGCCTTGTTTATTTTTATCTTATTGCACTTTTGTTAATGGCCTTAAATCCCTCATGGGGGGGGGTGTGTGTACATATGTATGTATATAGACATACATACATAGACACCTTTAAGATTTGGTCATGCTACAGTGAATATAAAATTGCCCTAGGTGGAGGGGAGCACTGTATTTATCTTATCAAGGAAGAATCATGCAAGAAGTAGTGAACATGGTAATTTCACAGTGCTAGACATTTGCTGCTCTTGCTTAAAAAATGATTATGGGTATTTAAGCCAAATTTCCCAGGTCTCACCTTCCTGCAAGTAGAAACTGGACCACAAAAACAACAACAAGCCATACATACTTGGCTTTACCCCACCCATAATTGTCACTCCTCTACACCTTAGGGGTCTCTCCTGAATGTGTAGACATTCACCCTTTTGGCTATGTCAACTGTCAAGTCTCTCCAAAAAACACTAGGGAAAAAAAAACAATGATCAAGGAAAGCAAAGTTTTCTGGACTTACTGCAACATAGGAGAACACTAATACAGTCTAAAGAGTATCTCAGAAGGGGGATATTAGGGACTGGTCTGGGTGATTTTAGGGCAAGAGAAATGGGTAGATCTTATAGCATGACAGCTAAAGATCAGCAGGCACAGAGAGTTGAGAATATTGAAGCAAGTATTAACAGGGAATATGTTATTCTTGTTAAGTAAACTCTTTATTTGGCTCACAATTTTATCTTTCAGGAAAAAGTACTTCCTGGAACAAGTAGCTAAGTTTGCTTATTCTCAGAAGTTCTTAACATAGGAACAGAAAATTATCCCCTGTCCAATTATTGTTTTACATGGTGACAGGGAATTATGTTGGTTTCTTTTTGTCTGGTCTGTCTTGTTCAGGCGTTGATTCTTGGATACGCCAATGGTGAAAACATAACAATGCCCACAGAGCTACCAACGGCACCAGTGCCCACTAATGCCAAAGTCACTGCTGCCCCAATAAAGAAACAATACTCACTGAAGGTGCTGAAAAGTCTAAGAAGATAAATGGATTTCCTATTTCCTTCTCCTCTTTTCAGTCCCTCTATTACATGGCTACAAAGCACTTCAGATTAACACTCACCAATGTGTTAAACAGATTTTTCTGAAACTGCCCTTTAAGTTTTTCCTTGCTCATTATTGCCTTGTGAGGCAGTGCTAGCTCATGGCAGCTGGTTTAAACTTGAATATAAATTGGGAGTTTGATTCCACATATGAGCAATCTCATATGGTATTTCTCTTTCTCTTTCTGGTTTACTTCACTTAGAATGACATTCTCCAGGGACATCCATGTTGCTGCAAATGGCGTTTTATGTTGTCAGTTTTTATGGCTGAGTAGTATTCCCTTGTATAAATATACGACCACTTCTTTATCCAATCATCTGTTGATGGACATTTAGGCGTTTTCATGTCTTGGCTATTGTAGATAGTGCTGCTATGAACACTGGGGTGCAGGTGTGTTTCTGAAGTAGGGTTCCTTCTGGACATATGCCCAGGAGCGGGATTCCTGGGTCATATGTTAAGTCTATTCCTAGTCTTTTGAGGAATCTCCATACTGTTTTCCACAGTGGCGGCACCAAACTGCATTCCCACCAGCAGTGTAGGAGGGTTCCCCGTTCTCCACAGCCTCTCCAGCATTTGTCATTTGTGGACTTTTGAATGATGGCCATTCTGACTGGTGTGAGGTGACTGGTATCACCTCATTGTAGTTTTGAAAAAAAATGAACATAAATACAAAACAGAAACAGACTCATAGACATAGAATACAAACTTGTGGTTGCCAAGGTGGCGGGGGGTGAGAAGGGACAGACTGGGATTTCAAAATGTAGAACAGATAAACAAGATTATACTGTATAGCACAGGGAAATATATACAAGATCTTGTGGTAGCTCACAGAGAAAAAAAAATTGTGACAATGAATATATGTATATTCATGTATAACTGAAAAATTGTGCTCTACACTGGAATTTGACACAACATTGTAAAATGACTTCAATTAAAAAAATAAAATAAACTTGAATATACAGTGCTACTCACTTGACACCCTCCCCTAGTTCAACCTTTTCAGTATTCCAGCAATGCTATCTTCTCTTAGGATTCATTCACTCCCAGGAGGCAATTTCATTCCTCAAGCAAAAAAAATTCCTTATGGGTCCATCTCCTGGAGTCTCCAAATATACCTAACTTGCCTGAACACTAAGGCCAGTACACTTTATTCTCTCAAACCAACTCTCCCAAATTAAATCTTGTTGATTTAAATTTTAGATAATTTGAAATTTAATTGGCTTTTTTAAAAAAAAAGTACTTTTTCATAAGCCAAAGTGGTTCTTACAAAGCCATGAATGTTCTGCCCCTATTATAAATAGAATTCTAAGTAAAACCTAAAACTTACAGCTTTAAAGCCTGCGCAAATGTTCCTGTTTTACAATTACAGTTACTTGTTTCTAGGTTCTTTATGAAGGTTCAGTTTTTTTTTTTTAGTGATATGCTTATAATTCAAAAACAATGAATACAAAGGGGGGAAAAGTCTGTCAAATAAAATATCCATGACTTATTTTCTCTTTTTTTCCTGGAACCAGTGTTTTTCTGTCTAAACTGAGACATTTCTCATATGACAGAACGTTGTCCTTACACATGACCCTCAGTGAAAAAAAGCCAGCTCTCTTTCTTAGTTGGCTAAATTTGCTTACGTTGCTCATTGGGTCTTCTTCAAATTATTTTAGAAATAAATTCTGAGTTTAGCTTTTGAGTCATGAAAGCATGCTTTACTACAGACAAGCCATGTTAACTTCGAGACACCCCCCGCCCAGGAGCTGTTCTGGTTCAGCCCTACCAACAGCTCTGCTTGGAGTGTTTGCTGGTTTTTAGCTGAGAAGCCTGACCTGAAAGGCCTTAATAAATTTTCTTTTGGTGAAATTGTTGATAAGATAAAGGGTATTGGCCTTCCATTTATCCCCATCAGATTTAAGAAGCTATCTTGCCTCACTAGAAAAGCTGCCTTTACAAACTTATCCTTATTTAGTACCTTTAAACAAAACATTAAATAGGCTTCCATTCAGCCACCTCCTTCAGGGCAAGGAGACTCTGTCCTACAAACTAATTTCTCTTACAAGTTGCTAGGCTTACATTCCACTGACGAAAGAGAGATTTGGTGTCTGTCCACCTGTAACAACGATTGGATATAAAAAGGTTTGGGTTTGGAAACATAAAAGAAAATTGGACCTTTTGAAATTGCTTGGATTCATGTAGGCCCATTAGAATTCAGTTGCCTCCAAAGAAATCTCAATAGCACTGATGATGAAGAATTATGGACTGCACAATGAAGGAGGATCAATGTGCACAATTAATGCTAGGAAGCAGGTTGAGACATCTCGGTCTAAGTCACATGCCATCTGGCCCATGAGCAGTCATTCTACCAGAGTGACACCAAAGGTCGGCAGGAGTGAGAGCCGTATGTCACGCTGCCAGGCTCCTGGATTTTATTTCTCATTTAAGGGAATCTGATCTGTCATTCCTCTGGCTCCCGTGGGCTTTAAATTCACATAATCAACATATCACTGCCAGAGACTTTGGAATAGCTGAGGCAGTTTAAAGGTGAGTGGAGAATAATCATGTTCCCAAGCTGGATGCCTTCAGTTCTGCAAAGAAATAAAAATTTCATCTTGGGTTCCAAAAAGTAAGGCAAATTGCCCAGTGTGAAAAAGACCTCAGCTCTCCTTCCACGTATCTATTTTTTACATCCTGGGAGGGCTGGCCATTTGCAAAAGCTTAGAGCAGTGCTTCTCAAAATGTGGTCCACAGACCCCTAGGGATTCTCCAGGCCCTTTCTGAGGGTTCTGGGGGTCAAAACCATTTCCATAATAGTTCTAAGAAGTTACTTGCCTTTTCCACCATTTGACATTTGTGATGATGGTGCAAAATCAATGGTGGATAAAACTGCTGGCTGCTTAGCACCAATCAAGGCAGTGGTACCAAACTATTCTAGTAGTCACTGGATCTTTTTACTGCCACGCAGTAAAGAGAAAATGTGTTTCACTTAAGAATGTATCTGATGAAGTTCTTAAAAATACTAATTTTATTAAATCTCAACCCTTGAGTACACATCTTTTTCATATTTTGTGTGACAAAATGGAAAAAAGTATATATAAAGCACTTTGGGGGCATACCGAAGTGTGATGCTGTCTCAAGGAAAGGTATGTATACCATCATTTGAGTTAGAAGGTGAACTCTGCTTTTTTTTGTGGAACATTATTTTCACTTGAAAGAACAACTGACAAGCTATGGCTATTCAAACTTGGGTATCTGGCAGACATTTTCTCAAAAATGAACAAAGTTAGCCAGTCACCTCAAGAAAAACAACTGACAGTATCTGTTTCCAATTACAAAATTTAAGCTTTTGAATGAAAATTATTATTTTGAAAATCTTGTATCTGCCACCATGACCCTGGCAGCTTCCCAGTACTAAAAGCTTATCTGATGAGATCAGTGGTAATTAATAATGAATGTAGTTTTTGAAACTGTATAATGAAATATGTCAACACTTGGAAATTATGCATAACTCAGTGAATCAGTATTTTCCAAATGACCAATGGTTGATGTTACACAATTATGCATGGTTAAAAGGCTCATTTAAAATCAAGACAGCAGTGGATTTGAGTGTAACAGAGTATGAAAGCCTCACTGATATGTTTCAGATTCCATATTGCAACTAACCTTTAAGAAACTAATACTTGCTGAGTTTGGTTTAGTTTACAAGAAGAATATCCACAATTACCTGAAAGGCTATCCTAACACTCCTCTCTTTTCCAACAATATATCTGTATGAACCTGGATTTTTTTCCTAAGTTTCACCAAAACCAAACATCCCAGAAGACTGAACTCAGAAGAAGATATGAGAACACAGTTGTCTTCTGTTAACCTAGACATTAAAAAGATTTGCAAAAATTTAAAATAGTGTCACTCTTTTTTCTTTTGTAAAATCTATTTCTCATAAAAATGTGTAATTTATGTTAATGTGTAATGGCTTGTTATTTTTTTAATGAAATAATAAATATTTTAAAGTTTCTTGATCTACTTCACATAAACAAAAGCTCTTTTGAGTCCTCACAACAGAGGTAGAAGAGTCATGCGAGTGAAATGTCTAAGAGCTGCTACAGCTGATCTTTAACGCTCTGTCACCTTCCCCCTCAGAGACACTGCATTCCCCACATTCACTGCCCCAAACTCTGTTTCATCCAAATCAAATTGCCTAGAAGGTCCCAGACTGTCCCTATTTTCAAAATTAGCTGATGGTGGCATGGAGAAGGGAAAGAAAGATCAAGGTCACTTATACACTAAGCAGTGTGCCATGCACCTAATGTATGGTCTCTCATTTAATCTTCACAACAGCCCTATCAGATAACAATAATAATAATGATATATCCAAATAATGAGGCAGCAGGACC